GGTTCAGAATCTGCTCTACAAAATGACAGGGCTCAACCTGCAGAAGGTTTTCAGGCCGGTGAAAAAGGAGCTCAAACCGCCCAAGTACAAGCTGATGACAGAAGCTCAGCTGGAAGAGGTAGGCTGCTCTGCTTCGTTTTGAATGAAATAAGTTTTGGATTTGGCAAAAAGTCTCTAACGGCCCCTATTTCTGCTTCCTTTAATGCTGCAGTTGAAAACATTTCGGTTTCTTTCCTTTGTTTCAGGTCATTTCCTAAGTTAGTGTAAATCGATGTTTCTTCACTTTAAATAGTTTTATTTACTAGATTTTTATGGACTGTGGAAGGAAATTGGATGCTTTTTTTCTTGACTGACAGGTTCTCTTTATTATCCTCGTTCCTTATGTTTCCTAATTCTGTTAAATGCCTTTATCTGATATTTAAATTGTAGCCCTGGGAATCCTTTGACTACTTTTTTTTTCCCTGTTGTTTGACCATGGTCCAGGATGACAAAGGGATCTGACTTAAGCTAGTTGTCCTGAAACCACCATCACAGTCAATTGTGGTTTATGCTTTGGGGAAAATTTACCATGGAAAAATACCTGAAATAAACTTAGTGTTTGCAGTAGTGTATGTAGATTTGTAGTATATGTAGTTTTGGAACTTCCTCCAGCAATTTGCCCAAGTTACAGTAGCAGTGTATCGTTCACAGGCAGTTCATCTACCTGGAGATCGAATTAGTGTCTCACTTCTTAACTAGGGAAGAAAAAAAAAAATTTTTAAAATTTCTTTCTAAAATACTTGTCCCAAAATTCTGTGTTAGCTTTCCAATAGGATGATTTTTTTAAACTGTAAAATTAAACTACTACTTTTTTTTCCCCCAAGGCCACAAGAAAAGCCATTGAGGAAGCTAAAAAAAAACTAATCATGCCCCCTGTTTTGAATGAACGAGAGCCAATTGATGATGTCTTAGCAGAAGACAAATTCCTTGAAGGAACTGAAACTACAAAATATGTGTTTACAGATTTAACTTACTCCATTCCACATCGTGTAAGTAACAATGTATTAATTTATTTTAAGAGCTTTTTATACTTAATTTCAAAATAAGCTTTAGGTTTTAATAAAACGTAGTTATAGCAGATTGCAGAAAGGCCGAGTTGTAGTAAATTCAGTCTGGTACAAGGCAAAACAAAGACATATTTCTAAGTGTTTGCTTCTAACTGATAATGATAAATTACCTTCCAGTGCTCAAAAGCAAGGCAATTAATTGTTTTAAAAGCAGATATTTATGATACGCTAGGAGCACTGGGTTCTTCCATGCTTCCTAGAAGCTTTCTGAGGAATTGGATTACTTAGCACTGTGCATAGACCAAAAGATGGAGCTACTTCACAGTTGCTAAGATCTGGTGGAAAGGTGAGTAAATGATAAATGAATTCACAGAAACGGTGTGAAGAAACAGTTGTCAGATAGAATTGTGGAGTACAGGGATAAAGATTTCTTTGTATAATGAAACGTCTAGATTGTCTTAAGTACCTGCAGTAAGAGGCTGGAAAAATTCTTAACAAATAGTTGATTTTAAGAAGTCTCTATGGGTCAAACATGAATATAGTGATGATCCTGTGAAATGAATTGTGAAGTCTTCCATCTGTTACTCGATCTGAAAGCTTTCTCCATGAACCTGCTATTTATTCTGCCCCAATGTACTGAAAACTTCCTTGTCCCAACAAACTTTCCTGTTGTCTACCCTAAATCAAATACGCTTGTGAACAGATCTGAGTAATTGTATTTGTTGTAGTTTTTATTTTGCACTTGGCCTTACTTGATTGTAGCACCTACTTCTGAAACAAAGTTAACAAAGTTAAAAAAGTACAAGTCACTTGCATTCTTAATTGACTATGTGTTACTAAATGCATAAAATCAGGCCTGCAGCAACGCTAACTCCTTTCTCTGGATATTTGTCGAAAATGTCAGAGAGCTGTAGCTTTCAGTGTAGGCATATGCATAGTTATGTCCTACAGTAAAATGAAGGTGCAAAGGTAGCACTTAATTAGCAGGTACCAAGGGAGAAATGATGAATCTGCTACAGTCACTTAGAAACCAGTATTATTAGTGTGAGTTTAGGCATAGAAGGACTTTGCCAAATAATCTTTTTTACAATGGTTCTGGCTACAAAGAGAGAAGACTTAGGGAGATAATGCTTTTTTACCTTCTTTTTAGGAACGTTTCATTGTAGTTAGAGAACCAAACGGTGTATTACGCAAAGCAACCTGGGAAGAACGAGACAGAATGATACAGATATTCTTCCCAAAAGAAGGGCGCAGAGTTATTCCCCCAGTGGTATTCAAAGATGAACACCTTGTGGTAAGATCCTCCTGGTTCTGGCACTTTTATTTATTGTGCTCTGATGGTGAAACTGCTATTTGGACAGAGTAGCTCTAACAAAGCCAGCCTGCTTGAGTTCTGTTTTGAACAATTGCTTATCACTGTAACTTAGTTAAAATACTTACAGTAATGTTCCGGGTTAGGGACAGGTAAATCCTGGATAGGTGTAAATATTCTGTCATACTAGAAATCCACATTTAATTGTTATGCATTGATGAAATCATATGCTTAATCTGAAAATGTGACCTAGTATTTCAGAAACAGAAATCAAGAAACATTATATTAATGTCATCAAGGCAGTTACTGTACTTTTATCCATTTTGTCTTGTGATAAAGGGGATACTCACTGTAAACATGGCTCAGAACAGAAATGTTGTGGCTGCTGTTTTGATTTTGGAGAGTTGGAATGGTGTGATACAGACTCTATTTCTAATTTTGAACTGTTGTTTTAGACTGTGTTTCAGCAAGACCGTCATGAGGATATCCTTAACAGGTGCATTGCTCAGTTTGAGCCAGATTCACCTGACTATATCAGAGTGAGTTCACTTTTCATTTTTCTCGTTTAAAAAAAATAGTATTAGTGAAGAACTTTAGGGTTTGTTTTATAAACCTAAGTATTATCTGGGCACCAAAGGTGGTGGTAGTATGTGCACTTTTTAACCCTTACAGATTACCTGTTATTCTTGTGATGAGTTTTGGTTTTTTCTTGCAGAAAAAAGTAGAACAGGATTCTGTTTAAGTAATTTTCAACAGTATAGAATGAACTACAGATGCATAGAAATAGTCTTTATATAGGTATTTTTGGTATCAAACCAGAATTGATGATCATGCCCGTAAGTGGCCACAGGCAGAGCTGTGCTACTGAAGTCTTGCTAACTGCTATGTTTGGATTTGAAAGGACCAGGTAGGTAACTGATGAAGTGCCCCCTTAGAGCACTGTACCCAAGGTATTTTTTGACAAAGACCAGGTACAAAAATATACTTCTAACTGGAATATTTAGATGTAGTAACTATAGTTACTGGTGAACATGTTAGTCTATGCTTGCCTTTAAAATGTTTACTTCTGTTTAAACTGTAATAATTTCTCAAATCACTGGGAACGTAACTACTGTTAGCAATTTCTCAAGTGCCTTTTCTTCAAAGTAAAATTTCACCTCTCTGCTCTAGCATTTTTCTCCTTAAAGAACAGATTACAAATTGACAGCAGTGAAATAAAGGTTCAGATGTAATGTCCCTCCCTCCCCAAATTTTCAGTACATAGCTAATATTTAGCTTTCTCTTAACACAAAGATGTCTGTGCCTAAGTACCAAGAACTGCGTTATCCTGGTGTTACCCTGAGTTATAACATCTCTAAAGCTTTAAGGTAGCATGGTTCAGCCTCTGGCTTACTCCTGTGCTTCAGGGAAGTCCGAAAATAGATTAAAAGCTGTAAGTGAGAGGTAGAGGGGAGAAACTGTCATCAAGCTCCAATTACACTAATGAAACAGAAACCTTTTCTGTGTATAGGTTCATCATCGGACATATGATGACATTGAAAAACATGCCAAATACGACCTGCTCCGTTCAACAAGACACTTTGGAGGAATGGTATGGTATCTAGTAAACAGAAAGAAAACGGATGGCTTACTAATAGATATGATCCAAAGAGACTTGTAAGTGGTGTTCGTCACTTATTAATTCTGCTTATCTAAACAAATAGAAAACAACAATTAGCATTGTTTGAAAATAAAACCAGTATTTCTCAAAGATGTATGAAAGTTTTCATTTGCATGAAATTTTAGGTTAGCTGTAACTTTTAGCTATATAGATGCTGGATGGAAGCACCAACTTGAAGTTGTAGGGTATTAAACTAGATTTCTGCAGGAATTAGCCTTTTATAGTTGTTGGGTTTTCACCTTTGTTTCCCATGTAATTGTCAGTATGCTTCCAGTTCTGGGCAGTGCCGAGCTGAAAGCTGAACAACTTTTGACTATGGAGCTCAGTTGTGGCTTTTAAGATTGACACACTCAGGTTTTAGAGCCATTCCTAAGTAGCTTAGGAACAGATAGATACACTTTCATCTTAAATGGATGGATTTCTGTAAGATACGCTGCTGAACTTACTCAAAACTCCCTAAAGCAAACAATATTTAAGTGTGCAAAATGTCACTTGAGCTAGGAGAAACTTGTACGGTTAGAACTTCAAGTTGCAGCAACGGTGGCGTTCTTTTCCTATTGTTGAAGTTAGAAACTTTCAACAGATGGTTGATCCTACTTCTACTGAGGATATGAAGAAATACAGGGAAGTTCAGTTTTGGAATCAAATTGTTAAAAGGGAAAATTCAAATGCCTGGACAGTTTAAGTTACCAGAGTTTGGATCATCTTTACCTGTCACCCACCCACTTCTGGCTTATGCTTACATTTATGTAAAACACCCGTTCCAGTTTTAAATTCAGCTGAGGGCTACATGTCACAGAATTTCGACTGCTACTTCTATAAAACATGCTAGTTACTGCAGTCAGTGTTAGGAAGTTTCTCTTTGGCACAGTTGTTCCACTAAATACTTATTGTTATTGGGTAATTAATTGTATTTTGCAGAGAGATTTCAACTTTATTACTGCTGAACAGTGTATTGTGCTTAAACTGCAGCATGGATAAATTTACCTTACCTGGTGCGCTTTGGTGTTTGTGTGCTTCTGGTCTTCCAGGGACAGGTTGCCAGTGCAATAGCTGGTGGGGTGCCTGGTTACCTGGATGTTCTAATCCCTGTACACTCAGTGAAAGCAGAAGTTTATGAAAGCCTGTGGTGCACACAGTACACCACAAAGTACACTTTCTCGAAATAATTTTAAGTATTAAGAGAAAGTAATTGCTACAAATGGGCCTTTATTTGTTTAGGCTGGATGACGCTACAAGCTTAATTACACTGTATCATATGCTCCATCCTGAATGTCAGTCAGCAAAAGAAGCTAAAGAAGGGAAACTTCAAGGAGTTGATCTGATCAAGGTATGCTTTTCTACTTTAAGGCTACTTAACTACAGAAAAGAAAGCTTTTAAACAGCAGAAGCCTATTTAGTATTCCAAACTTCTCCTTACCTTAAGCTGCAGATATTTAACTAGAACTCTTGTGCATACCAGGCTGCATTTTTTTCTTTTTTTTAAACTATATAGCTGCACCAGGATTTCAGTGGTAGCTGGCTGGAATGATGAAATCTCATTATGCAGCTATGCTCTTAATTGTACATTAATCTCTCTCTTACCATGTTTGCAGGTATTTGTGAAGACAGAATCACAGAAAGAAGGCTATATACAACTGGCCCTCCAAGCTTATGAAGAAGCAATGGCTACTTCCACAGCTGCATGAAATAAACTTTAGTTAATCAGAAGTTTTAAGTCTGTTGATAAACATTGTCTGTAGAGGATTCAACAATAAATACTTTAAACAACTGACTGTCCTAGAACATTTTTTTTTATTAAAATACACAAGAATCACTACAGCAGCTTGTTACTTTCAGAAGTTCCGTAAATGAGCTCACGGCAGTCATGATGACTTTTGTTTTGAGGCGACAATATACCCTGAGTTTAATTCCTTTATGGTTTCGTCTTGAATCTGAAGAATTGCCTACAATTCATTTTACTTATGGAAGTAAGTATAGGGTCTGGACAGCTTCATTTAGCAAAGCATAACACCACATCCCTCCCTTGAGATGTATTACTGTTGTAGGTCTTTGAGCTAAAGGTGTTGTCCAGAAGAGTAACTACAAGACAAATAGCACAGTGAAAAAGTAACCATGTACCTAAATGTATATGCTAAGAAAAGTCAGGTTAAAACACTGATGCTTAGCTACTATGCTTCCGTTTAAAATATTTGCAATGCACACTAGTGAAGCAGGGTTAAGAACATTAGAATGACTAGTAAATGGAGAACTGAGGAATAGAATGTTTAAAAGGGTTTATTGAATTGCTTGATAAATGGAAACATTTTTTAGTATGCACTGGAGCAGACCTACATCTTGAATTTCAACATACTGGAAGCTGATTCTTTTTGTACAGTTGCTGGGTCTACCCTTCTTTCTATGTGTACATGGTCCACTTGCAGTATAAAAATCAAATTAACTTGGAGCACTGTCCACAGAACTTCATTCCTTTGTTTGGAGTAATTGATTTGGTCATCTAAAAAGTATGTTCACTCATCTAAGATATCTTCATCCAGATTGATATCTGTGGTATCAATATCCTCCAGATCCAAGTTATCCAAGTCATCTTCCAAGTCCAGCAGTGTCTAGGAAAAGACAAGACTCAATTAAGGGCATACTAGTATGGTTACACATTAGCCAGCTCATATGGTGTCTGATTCTGTGATAGATTTGCACATTCTGCAGAACACCAAGCTGAGGCGGAACATAAACATTAAAGTAAGCTGTAGAGAGAAGCTGCCTTCTTGGTAAGAAAGCATCTCTCAGAGTTGCAGCTTTCTACCACATTCTGACCAGCTGTGTTTGGAAGTCACCCTTCATTCTTTGAAAATCCACAAGGCGGTAGGAACCAGTCTATACTACTGCGTACAGTTTCTGCATACAACTGGAAGGGATCCTTACACTGTACTGGTCCTAAGCTGTCTATTAATGCAGAAAGTGACATTTTCCAGTAGCTTGGTTTTATCACATTATTAGTGGAAGTCTTTTAATGTAAAATGAATTCAGTGCTTGTACTTCCCTTCACAGAAATAAATTTCAGTACCTTTTGATCTCTTGTTGGGAGCAGATCCGAATTCTGCAAAGCTGTCTTCATCACTTCTTGTTTAGGAGTCAGAACTGGTTCTTCAGCCTTCTTCTAATAAAAAAAAGAGATTCCTTAAGTTCCTTTGAATTTAAATTCTTTCAAGAAAAGCAAGTAAACAACAGCTGACCTGTAATCCCCCTCTCCCACTAGTTCTCTTTCAGTTTCCCTCAGAAATTCTTGAACCGCGTCTCCACAGCCAGTAAGCACTCTAGTCCTCGCTCCACTGGAGACTACTGTTTCCCTGCCCAGTTTATTTAAAGCAGCTGATGAAACTGATATAATGAAAACAACCTTCAGAAAGAATCGGTTAATTTCCAATACTGATGTGATGTGCTGTTAGAAAGTAGTTAAATTTCAAGGTCCTCAGCCGGAAAGAGCTTAGGATTGATTGTCACAGCAGTTTTAGAAGAGGCAGCAAATCTCAGTACTGTTGCTGGGCTTTGTGTTCCACTGAAGTTTACTCTTCTCTCTTCACTGTTGCACAAGTTTCGTATTAAGATAACTATTCCATTAACCATATTTAGATTAAATTATATAATTACCTCCTACAGAACTTTCCCTATTTCCCTCAGCTCTAAGAGACAACTTGTTTAAGGACTTCTATGCAATCATTAACTGAACACAAAGATATGCTTCTCACATTAGCAGTCTTGTTTTCAGCTTCTAATGCAAGCTAGTTCTAACTTGGTTTAGGTAACTTTTGAAATGCTATTGCTGAATCTTCTTTAACAAATGTGCACACAAGTTTGATTTTGCTTTAACGACACTTGCTTTGATACACAAGAAGCAGTCAGTCACTAAAGCTACTTGACAGTAAGCTAACTTCTCTGAACTGCCAGTGAAGTGCTGTAGTGCATCTTCTATGAGGGGAAAAAATAGAGACAGAAGGGAGAGTTGTGACTTTCTGTTTCTCCCTCAGTTTCCACTGCTATTCCTTTAGAAGTTTATAGCCTCGGAGACCTATGCCAACATCACTGTCTTTAAGAAACTCATTCTAATTTTCATACTTAAATGTAAAGTGTATTTGACATGAGCAAGAATTAGAAGTTGTCAACTTCTGTTTAAGCTCTGAAAAGCATTTTAAGTGTTTCAATCTGTATGCTTATACCTTATATTAGATATGTGTTTTCTGCATAATACTTGGACAACTGAGGTGGTCAAAAAAGAAAAAATCATTTTTAGCTACTTCAGATATTGATTAGAACATGTTTTCAAGTAGTTGAGCAAGATTACTAGTCGGTCATGGAATAGTCTTATTCCATAACCATGCACACTACCAAAGAATATAAAGCATTTTTAATTGCTGTAATATACAAGAGTTTCTAGGTTCTAACAACTGAACTTTTAGAAAACTAGTAGCAGTTGAGGCAGTGCACATGGAATTGGTTTTCTGCAGGATGAATTCAGTGGTAAGGTTCTACAACTACTCACACCAACAAAAGATGACTTGAGGTAAGTAACCATACAAACGATTTCACAGTGAAAAAGTCATTAGTAGTTACAGAAGTGAAGAGTCTGAGGCAAAAGAACACAGAAGTCTGCTGTGGTGCATACAGCCAAGCCAGTAAGAGCAGTAACATGTCCATTATTGGTGAAACGTTCTCCAGGGTAGATGTTACTGTACAACAGCAAAATTGCCTCTTCCTTAAAGTTCATCACTTAGTAGTAACACTGACCTGAGGTGCCGTTACTCCAGAAGGCTCAAAGCCTTTTGCTTCTTCAAGTAAGTTTCTTTCTTCATTTGGCTGAAAGTAAAAAAAACAGAACCACCATATTCATGGAATGTTTAAGTGGTTGCACTGACCTGCTTAAAGTTGCATTTACACAGCATCAACTGTGATTCTTCTAGAGACAGTAAGAGCTCCCACTGCTTACTTACAGTGACAAGAGGGTACTCCCTGGCTGGCCTCAAGTCAGCAAGACTTTGTTTAACATATTCTTCAGCAACAAAAGCCTCCTTTAATCCAGGGAAAAGATTTTCGTATTCTGTAGGATCAGCAAGCGACTCAGCAGCTTTTTGATTGACTTTAGAGAGATTCTCCCGCCACAATTTAACAACCCTGGAGATGCAAACCACATTTGTTAGACAGCTAATTTTGATGACACTATTCATGCTCTGCATATGCTTTGAAGTTACCTTGAAACTTGGCTTGGCAAATACGTCCGTGCAAGAAAAGCAGCTTCTGGGAGACGCCCGGTTTTGATCAGGAGCTCTAGGCATGAATCAAGCCTGTAAGATTTTAAAGTGTGATTTTAACCAGTAAGTTTAATAAAGACGGATTTTTGTATTAGATTAGCTGTTTATTCTATTACATTAAAAGTGCTTTCATTTCAGATTTTAAAAGTAGCAGCCATCATAAAATAGAATCAGCTTTTCTGAAAAGGCATGTGCCACAAGCCTTCCCCAGGAAGTTTTAAGTTGGCTGTAGTTAACTATTTGAAGAACCTGAGGTTCTTTGTGTTTCGGAAAGCAGGACAGAACAATCTGAATCTCACACTTGCTACTTACTTTCCCTGCAGGAAGTAGCTCATAAATGCAACATTGTTCTTGCCATCTTTTTCTGCTCCTTCAGCTAACTTATTCACCATACTGGCATTCCCTGACGCCGTTGCCAGGAGCAGCAGTCCTCCATAGTCTTGGGCATGGTGGAGACACTCCTGGGCTAAGCCAAACTGGCATTTACTAATGGCAAGCTCAGCGAGTTGCTTCCATTTCTGTTCCGACTAATGGTACAAAAAGGGGAGAGAGAGGGAAAGAAAAATAGAGGAGCTAACCCTCACATTTTTGAACAACATTTAAAGACTTATCAGAGCGTTCAATATGAAAATGTAAGTTCACTTGCAAAGGTACCATATCCCATCATTACACTTTTCTTCCTTTCGATACTATGACTACTGCAGCTTCACAGCATGACACAGTGAATGCTATATGGAGATCATTACACAGCTATACCATCACATAAACCAAACATTTTTCATTAAACATGAAGGGCAGAGGTAGAAATAACTTTTGAAATTTAAACAGTAACAATGGCTTACAGAAAGCTCCCAAGTTAACCTTCAGAACGTAAAACAGATATTTGTGCCTGTAACAAAGTTAACATTCCTTATTGCTAACTTCATTATTTTACAACAGGAACAGTGAGATCAATTCTCAGAATAATGGCTATGGCACAAATCACTGCCTGTCAGCCTTCCTTGCGCATCAGTCTAAGTCTGTCAAGGCTGGAACAAAGGCCCAGAGGCTTCAGTCCTGCCATTCCTCCTTTCCTTGTTCAATACCAGAGATGAAGGCTTGGTTCTTGGTTCAAGTTTTGTATTCTCCAGGAGCCCCTGTAGCTTTATGAGCACACAACACTTTTCTGTCCCCGTCCCACAGCTTAGATTCCTTTGAATTACAGGCAAAAGAGCTTCATCGAGGAAGCTGGAGGCAGTTAGATGGTGTTCAGGGAGCTGCACTGCATCCCCATATACCACTGCCTTTTCTTAGAGCCTCTTAGATTCATACTAACACATGGAATTAGTATGAATCACCAAAAATTGAATGTTTACCTCTGCTTCCACTGCAAGCTGATAGGCTATTTTTAATTCTCCAAGTTGAAGAGCAAGTTCAAAACGATGCTCTGGAT